CCGGCTGGGGGCCCACCCGACTCCGCAGACCCCTCACTCCTGAGGGTGCGGGCCGCCGCCTACCTCCCTCGCGCACCGAGCCCCAGCCGGTGATGACGCAGCGCGTGCCGTCGCGAGGCCTGGGTGCGGGGTCGGGCAGGCAGATGGGCCGCACTAAGCGGCTGCGGCGCACGGGCGTCGCCAGCTCGAGCAGCGCCACGTCGTAGTCGAGCGTGTAGAGGTTGTAGAAGGGGTGCTTGTAGATGCGCGCCACGCGCTCCAGCCGCCCGTCGGCGCCGCTCAGGAACGGCGTACCCAGGAAGGCCGCCCACTGCTTGGGGTCCCCGTAGCTGCGGGGCGCGTGGGGACACGCATTGGCCTGGTCCCCGTGCCGGGCCACGCCACGCCCCTGCCCGCCTGGAGCTCTGTCCATGGCCTCGCCTGTGCCCCTAGCGCAGATCGGGACTTGGGGCAGAGCACTTGACCTCTGGGCCTGGGTTGCTCAACTGCAAAGGGGACTAAGTCGTCCTCTGCTAGGACAGCGAGGGGGGCCCAGGCCCAAAATGCGCCCAGTTGGGCAACGAGGTGGCACCACAAGCCGTCTCCACTGCTGCCCAGTATCAGGGCTCTGGGGGCCGCAGGGGCTCTGCCCATCCCTTCTGACCCCGTGGGAGAGGCTGGTGTGTACACCCAGGAGCTGGGCGTCTCCGTGGGGGCAGGGCCCCCAAGAAGGGGACTCCTCAGTATACAGCTTTGGGGGCTGGCGCCAAGTCCCAGGGCGGCGGGTCGAGGATGGAGAAGTCCTGCATTTCCCCGGAGACCCCTTGTCGCCAGCAGGCCTGGCCCTGCGCTGGGAGGGGCTGCGGCCCCGGGTTTGGTGGGGCCAGGGCATGGACTGGGTCCCACAGCCCTGAGTGGTCAGGCCCGGGGTGCTGGGCGGGCTGCACGGCGGAGGTGCCGGGGGGCGGGGCATTCCGCAGAGACGCGGAGGCACAATGTAATAAGTGTTAAAGCCACCAATCTGGCCCAGGGACCCACAGACGGGCCGGACTCACACGTCGAAGCAGTGCGCCGCAGACAGCAGCCACTTCTCGGCCACCAGCACGGCCCCGCAGCGGTGCTCCCGGCGCTGCAGCCACAGGCTCACCTGCCACGGCCACTCCCCGCCCCCCGCGGCGCTGC